TTAACAATATCTAATGGGGGCTCCCGTAGGTAAATGAATATGCTAACAAGCAAGATCACTGCTAAATCTAATATCTTTAAGCTGTTTAATTCCAAACAGTCCCTTAATAAATCAATTGACCGGGAGAGCTGATGCCCCTATCAATTATTCAAGAGGGCAAATAAATATTTCAGATGATTTGATAGGAAGGCTAGTGCTGGTCTTACAGAAAGCTTTGCATTTCATTAGCTTCTTGCTAAAAGTTTTATAATGAGCTGAACACAGGTGGCATCCCCACTGCAGAAATGGAAAAGAGGGAAATAAGCGATTGTACGTTCAACCTTCCTCATCTCGGGAACATTCCATTATCCACACTTTTCTTTTGTAATGTGAAAATTGGAGTCAAGTCCTCCTAAGAATTATCATTCTCTGCAATCACAAAGGAAATTAAAATGATCAAAAGTATGTCATATTGAAAGAGTCTTAATTGTAATTCCTATTGGAAATGCAATTATCAGGTACCAATATCTCGAATATAATTCATGCGGTTCCACATCCAAATAACTCTTCACCAAATATTTAATATTATCAATTCCATTTTCCAGAGTAAGAAACTGAGTTTCCCTAGTCATTTATAAAGTGCTGACTAGGTCACTGATGTTTGAAAGCAGTGCTTTTTTTGTTCTTTAGAGATCATTATTCATATCGAAGACATACATTCCTGTTTAACATGATATCTGCCTCATGAATAATCTGCATTCAGTCCTGATCCTGAGAGAGAGAGAAGAAAGAGAAAGAAGGAAGGAGCAATTATTAAAGTGATGACCATCACTTTTCTTAATGTGCATGGATGTGTTTGTATATGCAAAACAGGCTTAGTACAGAAAGATTTTCAAGGAAAAAAATGAATGAAGAGAAGTACCTACCATGGAAGAGTAGACCGGAAGCAAGTGAATACCATTGCTTCTTGACCTATGTTCTGGAGATGGGACTCACAGGCTATTAGCAATGCTTAAAAACTGCTGGTGACTGATATAAGCATTTTAACCTTATCTGTGAAAGGAAAGTAGTTGTCTAGTTTTCCTTAAGCTCTGGAATTGATCAAACAACAACTTTATCAAATTTTAAGATTGCAGGCTGTGAAACTAAAATGGCGTATCATCTCTCAACAACATTTTACAGTTTACAAATGTAAAACCCCTGTTAAATTACTGTAAGCATTATTGTTATGAGAAGTACTGTAGGAGAGAAAAGAAATTTAGATTATCTGAAAAATAAAACTTAATTGTCAGAAGGTTTGCATATAAAAACAGTTGATGACGATTTTTCTAAATAAAAAGATCCATATAAAAATCACTGAATGGGGACTTTCCATGCTGGCAGTTATACGCTACAAAATACTCAATGAGCTATGAAAGAGACATCTCGGCTACAGAAAATCATAATTTAAATGTTAGGTTTGTTCATTTTCAGCTTCATGAATCAATAGAATAAATCCTTCACATTATTCTGTAAGTAAAATCTGGTCATGTTTAAAATCAGGTTTGAAGATGTCTCATCCAGAAGTATGTTTTCATGGAGTCATTTAATTAAGTGTTTATTTGCTTAATATTCTAAACCCCACAGAAATCATAGAGAATTTGAGCAAGATGGCAGATCCAACATACAAGGCAAAATTCCTCTTTCTTTCCTGCCTCATATATCTAGTAATTATATAAAAGAAATAATGATTTGTTAAATTCTCTTTGAGAAAGGGAAAGTCATATTTCATCAGAAATTAAAAAGTAATCTTTTAAAGATGGGAGGCATGTGAGAGTGGGTTAAAGAAGTAAAGAGCCAGAAATCCTTTGGGAGAAACCCACTGAAGGAAGTGGAGTTACCGCCTGGGAAGCTGCCCCCGGAGATTCAGCAGAAGGGGTGGCCCTGGCATGACATTCTGGACACCACATGCACAGGGATTGCCAGCCAAGCCAGCTATGATTGTCAGCTTTTCTGAAAGCATCAAGAAAATTACTCTCATGATACCCAGGTTAAAAGGAAAGTTTCTGGGCTCAGCAAGACAAAGCACAAGTGTTTTCTCTTCATGAGACTCCACACACTTCATGTCTACCCATCCCCAGAGGAAGACCTCTGCAACTTAAACTAGGGGACACAACCCAAAAGCAGATTCAGTGGGAAACAGGAGAATGATCACTGTCACCCCAAAATTCATGTTGGAAAATAGATTGTAAAGAGCAAATAGATCAACATATTAAAATAAGCACAGTTAAAATCCTAAGAGAAATGTAAGAATCTATGAAAACAGAACTAAATTTTTGAAACAAAATTTATGATCCTAAAATACAATTATTGATACCACTGATAAAATTGCTGGTGGAATTTTGATTCAATGGGCAAATGGCAGTCAGCAAAATTGAAGAGCATATGTAAAGAACAGATAAACCAGCGAACATTTATACAGGCTCCTATCTGAATAGCAACCAGAAATTTATCTTACATTAACTCTTGCCAAAGTCGAGCTTGAGACCTGGAAATATTTCAGAACAGGAATTGAAGGCACAAATTTGCCATTATTCCCTCCTCGAGGATGCCTACAATTCTATTTTTGGTTTAAAGTAAATCATTGGACCACAACTTACCCAGGCAATAACATCTTAACTTTCCAAAGCAATGTCTTTTCTGAGTTGAGATTTAACATTATACTTTCAGCCTTCATAGAAGGATATTATAAGAAATGTCCTTTTGAAGGATGTTCTGTACTTTCAGAAGATCAGAGTTGAAGACATTGCCCAGTATATTACCTAATGCCCCTTAGATGAAGATTTATATGACACTTTTCATGCTAGACATTTAGCACTAGAAAAATAAATTGTTTTTTCCCAGGAGATTTCCTTTATATGGTGATATGAAATCTATATTTCAATTGGTATCTTTTTTGCTTTGTTTGCCAAAATTACCCTAGCTAAATCTATTAATAGCCAAATGATTCCAAATACATAAAACATATTTTCTGTTCTGTGTAAGGTTTTAAACCTGTTTTTATTTTTTAAATTTAACTTTTGTCTTCTGTAAAGATAGGGTAATTTAAAATACTGCATACTTAAGGTGCATAGAACATTTTATACATATATTATGATCCTAAAAATACGATTATTGATGCCACTGATAAAAACACTAGGGGAATTTTGATTCAATGGGCAAATAGCAGTCAGCAAAACTGAATGCATGTAAGGAGAGAGAAGACCAGTGAACATTTATACAGGTTCCTGTCTCAATATCAACCAGAAATTGATCTTACATTAACTCTTCCCAAAGCCTAGCCTGAGGCCTAAAATGTTTCAGAGTAGGGATTGAAGGCATTATTTTTGTAATAAATAAATGAGCCATAAACTGGGTAGGGTGTCATATTTTGTCTAAGATAATAACCTCTATGAGTGTATTAAGAGTCTAAAGTTTATTAGATTGACTTTTAGTTTCTTAAAATCATAGTAACACATCCTAAATTCCAATTACCCCCAACACTAGCCTAATCTTGCTTTTGCAGCATAGCTTTTGAAGACTTTTTCCTTCACATCTAGCACCTATACCACCTCCAACTTCATTCTCAACTGCCGTAGATGACTTTCCATCCTCCTTAGAAAACTTAACATTAAAATGAAATGTCTTCTTTGACTCACTGCCAATCATGTGAACCTCCCTAAATTTTCCATCCTTATCCTTTCAAGGATTGAGTTTGAAGAAAAAGAGATCTGGAAGGAGAAGCAGAATTTATATTGTATTTCTATTTTACCATACTTTGCAGGAAAGATATACAAGGAAATAGAGGACTTAAACAATACTATAAACCAAGTATATTTAACAGATGTATGCCGACCTGCCCATCAAATGAGACCATAATGTACGTTTTTCTGAAGTGCACATAGAATATTTTGAGATATAGACCATATGTAAGCACAAAACAAGTCTTATTTTAAAATGATTGAAACCATACAACATAACTTTTCCAATCACAATGGAATGAAACTAGAAATTCATAACACAAAGAAAATTAGAAAATTCACAAATATGTGATAAAATGAAAGAACGTTTCTCTATCATTTCAAGAAGTAGGAAGAACAGATAGGAATAGAAAATGAAGGTGTGTTTACTTGATTGGCAGTAGGTGAAGGCTTATTTATGGAAAATGAGATCTAGAAATCTCCAATTATTGAATTATTGTAGAAATATTTCTCCCTTCAACTCTATCAATGTTTGTTTGTTGTATTTTTGGACTCTGGTGAATATATGCCACAATTATCACATCTTCATGAAGACTTGACCCTGTAATCAATATATGATTTTCTTCTTTGGTTCCTTGAGTAGATTTTGGTTTAAAATGTATTTGTCTGATCATATAGCCACTTCAGCTTCTTTTTCTTATTGCTTGCCTGAAATATCTTTTTCTATCTTTTTAATTTCAACCCATCTCTTGAAATCTAAAGTGAGTTTTTTGTAGACAATAGTTCCATCATGTTTTGTTTCATTTTATTTTTAATTCACTCTACCTATCTGTATCTTTTGATTGAAGAGCATAAGTGCATTTAAAGTAATTACTGGAGAGGAAAGCTGAACGTTTGCTTTCTGGGATTTGTTTTCTAAAAGTATCTTTCTCCCTCAATTCCTCCTATTATTGCCTTCTTTTGTGTTTTGCTGACTTTTTTTTTGTAGTGAGATGATTTGATTCCCTTCTTATTTCCTTTCTTGTATACATATTTTCTTTGTGGATACTGTACTAGTCATCTTTTCTGTCCTGGACACAATGTCTGACAAATAAAACTTGTAGAAGAGGTGTTTAATTTGGCTCACAGTTTCATTCCATCGCTGGTGGGTCCATGGCAGAAACATGGAGGAAGGTTATTGAAGAGCAAAGTTGCAGCTGAGAAGCATGTTTATGGCAGCTAAGAAGCAGAGCAGGAGAACAGTGCCAGAATTTAAGGGTTGGAGGCCCCAAGGCCACACTTCTGCGACCCATCCAGACACACCTTCAAGTGTGCTCCAACAATCCTTTGGCAGACCCACAGTCCATCAGGCTGATACTCCAGTCGCACCTTCCTGGGTACTGTGGAAATGATATATAATATTCTAAAGTCATAGCAAGTACATTTCAATTGGTACCAGTGTAATCTCCATTGCAAATACAAATTCTACCCTTGACCAGCTCAATTTCCCCCTTATACTTGTAATGTCATTAATTATATATTTGTACATTATGAGACAAATAACATATTTAATAATCATTTTAATGCACTTGTCTTTTAAATCTTGCTGTAAATAAAATGTGAAATTAAAATCCAAAATTCCAATAAAGCTGACGTATTTGCTCATGTATTTACTTTTAGTGGCAATCTTTATGATCTTAATGCAACATTTGGTTACTACCTAGGCTCCTTTCATTTCAACCTGAAGGGCACCCTTTGGCATTATTTTGTGTGGCAAGTCTAGTGGTAGAAAAACTCCCTCAGCTTTTGTAAAACCATGGAATGTCTTCATTTCTCCCTCATTCTTTTCAGGACAATTTTTTTAGATGTTTATGTAATAATGAGTTACTTCATTGTCACAGCTTTTAAGAATCCTTGCTTTGTCTTTTTGGGGGGCTGAGGGGAAGGGATACTGGGGACTGAATCCAGGCCCTTCACATTGAGCTATATCTCCAGCCCTTTTTTTAATCTTTTATTTTGAGACAAAGTTTCACTAAATTGCCCATCCTGGGCTTGAACTTGTGATCTTCTGGATTCAGCATCTCAGAGTGCTGAAATTACAGGCATGTACCACTATACGCTGCTTGCTTTATTTTTTAAAGTTTGATGATATTACATCTCTATGTGGGCCTATGGATTTTATCCTATTTGGAGTTCATCATATATTTTAGATTGTAGATTTGTAGATTCAATAAAGCTTAGGAAGATTTTTAGCCATTAAATAAGCCATTAGATTTCAGACTTCTGAAAGTCCCTAGGGCATAGGTTAAAAATCTTGATGCTATACCACAAATCTCTTAGGTTCTGTTCATTTTTTCTTGTACTTTTGTCTTCTGTTCCTCAGTTTTGATAACTTCAATTATTCTATTCAATTGTTCACTGATATTTTCTTCGGCCTGCTCACATCTCTGTTGAACTGCTATAGTGAATATTTTTGTTACTATATATTCAGCTCAAGAATTTCTAGTTGGATATTTTTTTAATATATTTGCTATCCTTTTGTTGGTATTCTCATTTTGTTCATGCATAGTTTAACCGAGCACCTGTTGTTTCTTGCCCATTCTTTTCTTTAGTGCTTGGAGCCGATTTTAGATAATTGTTTTAAGGCCTTTGTCTAGGAATTCCAATGTCTGGACTTCCTAAAAGAAGATTTTTGCCCAGTAATTTTATTCCGTGGAAAGGGCCACATTTTCCTAATTTCTTGTATGCCTTAAGATACTTTGGGTTGGGCCTGCAAATTAGGCATTTGGCTATTATAATGTGGTAACTCTGAAAATTAAAATCTCCTCTGTTCCCCGGGTTTACTCTCTGTTTCTGCTTTGTTTTGTTTTATTGTTGGAGATTATAGTAGCCTATTGTTCCCAGGAGTTTCCCAAATTATTTGCACAAATGCTACTCCTTGTTGTGTGTCATGACTTGAGTCTCTTCTTTGGGCTTGTGTTCAGCTAAGGATTGGATAGAGATTTCCCTCCGAATCAGGTGATTTCCCAGTCCTTGAACATTGGCTGTGCGCTAGGAGAGGCAGCACTTCAATACTTAGGTCAATTTTGAACCTCGAGATGAGGCAAAAGTGAAGGACTAAGGTTTTCATGGGACTTCTTTGAGTCCATGTGTGCCTGGCCATGTGCCTGACTTTCCACATGTCCCTATAAACATGGCTGCTTTTGAATATCCTACTTTCCCAAAGAACTTCAACCCAACTTCTCCTCCACTCACTATTTGGTCTATTATATGCTCTACTCATAATCTCTTGCAGTGGGTGGATCTCAATTTTACAAGCAATACCTGCCACTTTTCTAACTGAGTTCTATGCTAGGGAAAACTTATACCAATCCTTCAAGAATCTCCCCAGACAGGTTACAACAGATGTCCAGAATAATTTGTAAATAAGGTTTGCTTTGGTTCCTCTGGTGCAAAGAAGTAAGTGGGAGCCAGGTTGCTGCTGTTTCAAACCCAAGCCCACTGGCACTCCCTTCTTTTATTTCTTCTTTTGAGACAGGGTTTTACTTGGTCCCTTGCTGGGCTTGAACTTGCAAACTTCCTACCTCAGTCTCCCAGAGTGCTGGGATCAGAGCCATGCAGCACCCTACCCCAATTTGTTTACCCTTCTGTAACCAAAGGGGTTAGGAATGAAAAGAGACACTGACAAGTGAGGGTGTATAAAGTTGGTGGGGAGGAAAGTGACTACTCACTGTTTTTCAGAAATGACTTTTGGGACTGTTCAGAGATACTTTTGCTTAGAGATTGCTTTTACTAGATGCTAGAAGCAAATTGCATGAAAATCGTACATTTCCTCCAATTTTTTCATTTAGCAATTCTTCAAAGCAAATGTAATTATTATATATAGCAAACATGTGAAATTACATATATTTTTAGAAAAGACAGGGAAGACTTAAAAACAGCTGATTTCTTAGCAGAGTTTATAGACAATATCAGTGCCTGATAGACGTGTTGGTTATCAACATACTATTTCATAAAGAGAATCTTCCTGGCACTTGGTACATGTAAATACACTATCATAAACAACAAACTTATTCAACAGCACTGGGTTATCCATTCTCTTCAGCCAAGCTAGGACATCACTAACCTTATCCACACTGCTGAGGAATATCAAAATTTACATTTGTCCAGTTTAGTTGAATTATTTAATGCATGAAGACACTCTGAAATTGCTTCTTAGCAACTTTTCTCACCACCAAGACACGATGCCCAATATCCACAAATTAAAGGAGGAGAAGTTTGCTTTGGGTCACAATTTGTAGAAATTTCAATTCGTAGTTCACAGGCTCCAAGGCAGAGCAGCATGACAAAGGGGGATGACAGAGAAAAAAGAGCTCATGGTACGGTGGCAGAAAGGAGGTAGAGAGATCGAGAGAGGAGAGAGGCAGACAGACCCTTCTAGGCAACACCCCCAGTGACCCAATTCCTCCAACCAGGCTCCACCTCTCAAATCACACTTAACTGTAAGCTAATGAGTGGACTCATCCATTGGTGAATATCACTCCTCAATGATCCAATCACTTTCCAAAATCCCTATGAGCTCATGAGGGTTCAGGGAGATATCTAGATATAAACTATTATAGGGACCATACAAGATCTTCCTACAAGCTATTGATAAAAAACACTCACAAAATAACTATTTATTACAGAGTCCTATAGCATATCTAAAGCACTTCACCTCCTAGAATCTGGTACTTAATATACATGCATACATGTCATGGCATAGTAACAAAATGTTTGAGGCATTGTGTAATTTGGTTTACAAACATTAATTCTTCAAAGTATCACAAAGATCTTAAAAATTAACCACCATCATCCCTATTTAACTCCTAGGAAAACTGCATCACGGAGAGGATTGCAAAGTTGTGCAGGATTACTCAGAAATCTCCCTTTGCTCTAACCCAACAGAATTTGTCACCAGTAGCAAATTATCATTCAGCTTCAGATGATAGCTTACAACACAAACAATTCAAGCCCTCTAGAGAATCACATTCTTTTTCTTCCATTCTGCATCTTGTGCCTGTCATGATGTTTTGGAAATTATGAAACATTCAAAGCAGTTTAATATAAGGGTCTCAAATCAAAGCAAATATTTATCCTCATCTATTTAGAAGGATTCTGCTGGAGTTCAAACCTTAAGTGTCCCTCAAAAGTCTGTGTGTTAAAAGTTTGGTCCTCAGGGTGGCCCTATTGGGAAGCGGTGCAACCTTAACTGAAGAGTCTTGGGTCATTGCCTCTGAATGGAACAGGCACCTGTCTTAGTTACTTTTCTCATTGCAAAGACAAATTACTCAATGCCCAAAGTTAAGGGGGAAAAGGATTTTTGGCTCACAGTTTGTAGAGGTTTCAGTCCATAATTGGCTGGCTCCAAGGCAGGGTGACCTGGCAGACAGACATTGCAGAGGAGAAACAGTTCATGGTGGGCAGAAGGTAGCAAAGCAAGCAAGGGTCAAGACAAACCTCTTTCTGTCCTTTATATTGTGTCCAGGCTACCAGGGTTACCTTGGGGCCAAACCAATCAGTGGACTGCTTTAGTAATCACCCACCCTTAATCCCAACACCCTGAACCCTGGCACTATACCATGAATCAATCACACACTCTAGAATCAGCAACCTCTGAAAAAGCCCCACCTACTACAATATCAGGGACATCTAGACACAAGCCATAACAAGACTCTATCCCCTTTCTCTTTCATTGTTTTGCTTTGTGGTCTTGAGGAGAGTGGTTTGGCTGTACCCACCCATCTCCTTCCGTGATGTAGTTTCACAGACCCCTAGCAACAGGGCTCATCTGTCATGCCTGGAACATCCAGGTCTGTGAATCAAAATAAATCCTTCCTTTTGATCAGTTGATGATCTCAGGGTTTTGTTGTAGTGACAAAAAGCTAACACAGATCAATTGCCATGGTTCAGTTTTCCACCACATAATGAGGATGACTCTTCTGAATTTGTGTCATTTTATGCTGTGGATTTGGAAACACTACATTAAACTTTCAGGTCCCCCTCATTGGCATATCATTGTAGGTGAATCAAGGGCTCACTATGCATCACTGAATTAAAAACCCACTGGTAGTTCTATTCACGATGGTATTAGAGGGGCTGTATGAATATTTGTATCAATTTGTAGTATTTTAGAAATAATTTCCAAATGGCATCTGAGGAAATATGGGACCGAGATGTGAGAAAGTTAATATATTTTAACTAGTCTCTTATTTCAGTCTTTGATTGAGCCTCTTCGGGATTAAGATAGTTTGTTATCTACACAAGCTTTCCTTCTCTTTTCATTAATTTAATTTAATTCCATTTATATGTAACCTGAGAGTAGCATTCCCCTGCAGTATGCCCACTCCATTTGTAAACTGAATGGAAGTCATCATCTCTGCTTTAATGGCTGTGAAGGACTGAGAAATTAATAGCTCTCTCTTGAATTAGTAAATTATATTTTTCCAAAGAGAGAAAAGTGCCTCATAAAAATAAGTGACTAGAGTCACTTTTATTTTATTTTTATAACAAGTCTTTTTATGCTATAGTTTTAAACCCCCTTTTACAATAACATCGTACATTTATATAGTGCTTTATACTTTTCAAAGCACTAGCATGCACATTAGCCTATTTTATCTTCACAACAACCTTCAGGCCTAAGTAGGGAAGACATAAGAGAGATCTGTGCCTCAGACTGAAGGACGGGGGTGTGGATGACTCACAAGTGGCCTGAAGAGCCCACAGTGGGCTGAAGAGTCCCCTCCTGGGAAGACCCTGGCTGTGGGAGGATGCTCTTCTTTGCCAAGATGGACACCCCTAGAGCACGGTTAAAGGAGAAAGGCTACTCTTCTTTTCTTTTCTTTTCCATATTATTTGCTGATTATCCTAATTACTATCTGCCATACATAATTCTTTTCCTTCATTTTCAGTTTCCTTACCTTTTTCTTTCCTTTCCGTATAATGTGTTCTTTATTCATAACAAAAATCACTATATACAAAGATTAAACTTCTATACCATATGTGGCTGTTCAGTTGGCACAAAAATCCTTTTGTTTTCTTAGAAATGTAACTCATCATGACAAGGTAAAGTCACTATGTTCTCTGATATTGTGAAGCCTCAGAAGACCTTGCACTGTGAGGCTGACACTGCTGCATTCAGCTGTCCCAGCCCACTTGGGTCATAGAGTCCTGCCACAAAATTGGATGCACAGAACTGAACCCAAGAGCCTGGGCAAAGCCAGAACTATGGTGCACTCAGCATCTGTCAGACAGATCAGGGCAACAATATGTGCAGACAGAGAACAAAGCAGATATTCTTTCTCCTACCTAAATAAAAGTTATATCTTTTGACCAACATCTCCCAGTGAGAATTTTTATTTCTAAGACATTTTAATTATGAAATATTGCTAGACATCTTTCTAGATATCTAGGGTACTTATCTAATGATTTAATAATAATATATTGCCAAAGGCAGTGCATTCATAGCAAGAAGTAAAATAAAATTCTTAACATTTTTTTACCCCAACTCCAGAAAATTTTATAATCTTTGTGTACACACACAGGCATATAAAGACACATGCTTCTTAACAATATGAAAACTATATTCAAATTCCAGTTTAAATAAGTACATCTAGTTTAAAGAGTTTTTCTGTTAAGCTATATATCATTAAGTATTATTTTAATTTTAGTAGAAAAAGAAAAATCCTAATATGTCTTTTGGGTTTTTTTTTAAAAACTTCATTCAAGTGCATTCTTCTGTTTTCATATAACCATTATATTTGCTGATTATCCTAAGCACTATCTGCCTTATATAATTTTGACAATGTGTATTTATACTTCTTCAAGATTATGTGGTTTGTTTTCAGAGTTCACAAAATCTCATATACATAAAAATAAATTTATAGGATGTACACTAAATTCAATCATACAAAAACACACTGTATTTTTTTGAACCCCTGTTATGTCCCAGAGACCTTCCTAAGCGGTCAGGTTGAAAGGATAAATAGTACAGACTGTCTATTCTCTGCCCTTGGGAGAGAAATACTTTCCAACAAATGATAGCAAAATATATTACTAGCCAAATAAAGTGACTATAAAAAAGAAAATCATTACTTTTTCCTGAATTGTTTGAAAAGATATTGCAGAAGGAATACTTTGCTGGGATTTGAGTTCAACAGGAGAATTTCTAGAAACTCTAGGAATAGGCATCACAGAGGTTAGAAAGAATTGATCCAAGACAAAGATGCTAGAGCCCTCAAAGGGGACAGGGAGAAGGACAGACACGGCTGGGGAGGGGGTGTTTTTTCTATTTATTTATTTATTTATTTATTTATTTATTTATTTATTTGTGTGTGGGGGGGTGTTTTTCCTTGAACCATGCAATAGTGGACTGGAAAGGAAAACCCAGAAAACATTAGGTCAATGCCATGAGAACTGTGAAAACACTAAAAAAACCAAAACAAAACTGAAGTTAAATTAAAATTTCAAAATATTATCAGTGTTTTAAGACATTTTACTTGTATAAGAAATAAAAATTCAAACTGGATTTAATCTGATGAGCCTTCTCAACACACACACACACACACACACACGCACACACACACACGCACGCACACACACGCACGCGAGCGCTTCCCAAGGTCACAAGTTCCTTTGGTTGGCCAAGGGCATGATGGGAAGTCAGGAGGCTCCCGAACATGGAGAAGGAGAGCCTTGAAAGCGCCTAGGGATGCAGGAGAATCCTGTCCCACTCTCTTAGGAATCTTCCAGATTGTTCTCATCTGCTTGGTTCTCTTTCTTCACAGACTGCTCCCTGACCATAGCGAGTACGTGGTGAGTGAGCCCCAGTCCTGGGCTTGCCTGTCTTTGCAATTTGAATTTTGTGCATCTGATGTTATGAGGACACCGTGACAGAATGGGGCTGGGACGGCTGAATGCGATGGTGCCTGCATGACAGGACCTGTACCTAGCGTTGTCTTCTGAGGTTCCTTCCTGTGGCTGAAGGAGTGAAACATGTGCTATGTAAGAGATGTTCTTGTTTAAGAACTCACGTGCCGACTTCACATTGTCTCCACTCAAATTCCAGCTTCCCCTGGCCTGTTATAATCCGGGGCAGTTTACTGATCACCAGCTATTATACACCACCTTGAAAATATTTTGCTTTGATAAAACAGCTGAGACACACAAAGATTTAATAAGCAACTCAGCACATGCCTAGGTCCTGGCAGATTCACAGTCTGGCCTTTGAATGGAGTGAGTTAATCTAATTGTAAGGAAGCACATTTAAATACTTTCTTTTCTTCGCTAAGACATTTAAAAACATTTCTTGGCTATCTCACAAGCACTTCTAATCAGGGAGGTAATTATTAATGATAGAGGAGTGAAGGAAAAGTCAGAAAAGAAACTGCTTAGTGTTTACCTATAAAAATGTCTCTGAATGGAAATGGTATCATAAAATTTTATTGCACCACTTTCTATTTATTTAAAGAATATTTTCTAATACATATTTGTGTTTCCAGGTGAATCTTTCTGTGAAAAATAGCCTTTAATATATTTCGGTAAACAACTTGGACAGCAAATGCTTCTACCTAATTCATTTACTCTCTCATTCTAGAAAACTAGCTCACTGTCAAATTCTAGATCTTTCTGAAAATATCTAAGCTGCTTTAATAATGTTGTTTATCTTTATTGCTGAGAACCCAGCAGGTGAAGAAAAATGACGACAATTTGGTAAATAATGGATGCAGAGATGACTTATTGTTTTTCTGCAATGAGAAATGAGCATAGTTTATTATGTGACCTTTTTTCAAGTGCCTGTCAAGAACTCAGAAGTAATACAGCTTTACTTGCAAAGAGTGACTGATTAAAAAAAGATAAACACTTAAAGTGTTGTATCTCTTTATTAAGAGCTAATCTTCTATTTGTGTCCAAAGAAATAAAAATAGTTACAATCCTCCACACCCAAAGAAATCAATGGCTGTCTCCACCCACGTAAGGTACATGAACTGAACTACCCCAGCTGATAACACTGTTGGGTCTATTTAATCTTAAAATGCATTTTAAAAATCAAAATATTCTATTAACATATGTGTATGCTTTCCTCTTTTTGAAAGGTCATTTTGGATTTTAATCATTTCTTTTTTTCTCCTTGTAAGCCTTCGGGGAGGAAGATCTCCTGATGTTTAAGGATGTTTAGAGTTCAGATCCAGAACTTTTACATCTAGTAATAGATGAGGTCTTAATAATGTCTTTTCGACAGAAAATTCTACAGCTTCACTTAATAGAATATTTTGGGACTACTTGTTTATAACACAACACCTTAGAATGTCCATGAAAGTCAAACAATACTGCAGCAATGCAGCTTCAAAAATGTAGCTTTAAACGGTTTGCATACAGAAAAGATTTTTTTTTTTACCCTCTTGGTGTTCTAAATTTTTAAGGTTATTCATGAAGAAGACAGGATGATCTTTGTTTTAGAGGCATAAATATTTAACACATGTTCTTTTTGTCAGACCAAGTTTTTATTAAAAACTTAAATGAGAGCTCTTCTTACATGGAAAGTTCATATTTAAGAGCAGAAACGCTCCCTTAAAGAAATACAAACTTAATAAAAATGAAAACACAAAATTTCAATTTAAGTCATAACTTATTGTGGCATATGGAATTGAACTAGATAAATAAAAATAAGAGCCTATTTTACAGAATACAATATTTAAAATGTGTCTCTGCTGTTCTAAACTCTGTAATTAGTGAGATTCTGAGATATCTTCCTGCACAAGAAAGTACGTAGATTCAATAGAACAAAATGATTGCTTGCTCAGACACACCATACACACACAAACACACACATACTAATTATACACAGATAATAGCAAAAGTTTTCAGTTTTAAATATATCAGAAAAAAGAAAAAGGCTTACTTTTAATTTTACAAACAATAATATCATAAACTTTTAATTTTACTTGCAAATTCCATAATACAAAATATAAGAAAATCTGAGTAATACTTTGATAAAATATGTTCCATGCCAGGTGCACTTTTGTTTTTTCATATTTTGATACAATTATTTGGCATTGGAGTTTAAGAGGTTCTTAGGAACTAGGACTAGGGCTAGAGCTTTAAGTGATTAGGACAAAAAGCAGCACTAGAGAAAGAAAAATAAAGACTTCAAATAATGAAATCTTCTGGAGCTAAATTGGTAAACTGTTTCTGTTAAACAATGCATGTCCCACAGCTTTTTTACCTCCTTAAAATTCACAGTTTAAAATGGGTTCCTTTTACAAAGGCTAAATTGCTTTACAGTCACTCAGAACAAAGCTTACCTGTAATCATAGAATTACTGAAAATATCTGTAACAAATGCTCCTTCTAGAACACCCAAACAGCATTTTCAAAGGAAGAAAAAAAAGAATGGAGGGAGGGAGGAATGGAAGACAAGAGGGAGGGGTGGGAAGGAAGGAAGGGAGGGAGGTAAAGAAACATCAGGGGACTGGGTATGTAACTCAGTGCTAGACCACATGCCTAGCACACACAAGGCCCTAGGTTTGATCCCCAGCATGAAAATAATGATGTCAATAATAATTCAATTTTATATGCTCATTTGTATTACCAGTACATAGTGCTCAAGTATGTATAACCAAAAAAAAGTACCTATCTGAGTGTGTGTGTGTGTGTGTGTGTGTGTGTGTGTGTTGTAAAAGAGAGGGGAAAAGGAGGAGAAGAGGGAGATAAAAAGAAAGAGGGGCAGATCCTTGATATCTTCGTCCCTTAACACACAGGAAACTTACTCGGTCATCTGTTGACTGCCACAAACATAACTAGAAAACAGGAATTTACCAGCAGAAGCTGGGAATCAAGCACACAGAAGCTTCTCTATTCCAGCTATCTAATCGCAGTAGATGGCATTATAGTACATTTTTAGACCTGATATTTTAGGACGTTAAATTCAAAGATTAAAAAAAAATTGAGTTTATGTTTTGAAGTCTTTTTAAACTGATAATTAAATTAATTCTACCCGTTCTTTGAGTACTTTCCCCAGCACAAATAGAATGAGGCAAAATCAAAGTAAATATGAAAAAATTCTAATCAATTTAAAAAAAAATTAGCATTTAAAACATCAATTGGTAATCCATTCTGTACCTCTATTCTCTTTTTTAGTTTGTTTTTCTACACGATTTTCTTAAAACATACATACATGAAAAAAACATACCTACATGTATAAAAACACACACAAACACATCCTGATACTCTTTAAATACCAACTCAATAGCCATCCAAATTATTTCTAAGTTTTTGCTTAATTCACTCTTTAACTAAATGATGGAGAAATTGCAGGATAATTGCATTTGAATATTATTACATGATTTATTCAGCCCACAATAAGAATTCATTTTTAAAACAAAGAATTTAGAATTTAGAAACTTATAAATTTGATATGAGAGCAAATAAAATGTGTTCTGGACCTTTCATATGTAAATCTATTGAAATCCAGCCCTGAACATTGCAAGGGTCTCCCAGCTTATTACTTTATGATATTCCAGCCTGAAGGTGCAGGGGGTCTCACATTAATTTGCTGTATGTTTGATTAGAGAATCTTCCATAACTATTAGAGCCCACTTTGGGCTCGCTTCATTTTAGAGTTGTTGTCAGTCATTTGAGAGTGATTTGCCCCGTGACTGGAAGAATAAACACATCATATATTAGGTGAGCCTTTGATGCTTAGGGTTTACAGAATGCCAATACCTCTTTCAGAAAGTGGGAAGAAGATGAGCGAGGAAGAAGTATTACCAAAGGACTTCACGAGCCTTCTTGGACCCCTCCAGCTCAGAATAAACTCGTGGGGAAATGGGTGTTTGCTTTGTTTTTGCTTTGGTGCATTTCCTGGTGATGGACCAGAGGAGAGGAATGAGATTGGAGCATGCACTGTTTGTCACAAATTGTTCTGGAACATTTTGGTCTCCATAACCACTTTTAAGCACTGGTCAGGAACTGCCTATGAGTCAACATTCAAATCGGCCCGTTTGCCTTTTTGTATTCCCAGATATTCCGTTCTACACATCTTTGAAGGCAACTTTCAAAGCTAAATTGAAACTTGATTTTGTAACAGTGGAAAAAATACTTTGTTCCAGAACATACAAATATCTCTTTTCCCTCATTCAGAGGCCCAAAGAGACTTTGTGACTAGCGACCATATTTTCAAGTTGGAGAGTTCATGAATTACAATATTATTTAGGGGAAACTTTCAAAATTGCAAAAAACAAATCCCAAAAGCCCCAGAACTCCAAGAGGAATGTGTTTTATTTTTCCACCTGTTTGATGTCAATGTGCTGTAGCTTACCTGGCTTACCATCGTGAAGTGACTGTGTTAGCCTGACTTGAACGAATGCATTTCTGCTCACAGTGCACCTGGTATTTGTGTACAGCTCCACAATTCTTACTGAGAACTTATTACTTTATGTAGCTTTAATGCCAAACAATGTTTTCAGACTCCCAGTGAGTGAGGATGGGCATATATTATTACATCATGGACTTATCAAACAGCCATATCAATGGATCAAAGGAGCACCATTTGTTAAAAGGATGAATCTGTTTAGAACATTACAAAGTATAAATTAGAATCTCATATTCCTCTTCCCGAGGCCACTAATCTACATATTCGGGAAAAATTAGCCTCACTGATTTAGCCAAATAATCCAACAGTACTTTTTAATTTACTTTTTAAGAAGTGAAGAAATCAGAGTAAGTTGCCTTTAATGGAAATGATATTTTATATAAATGCATACATATATATGTTCAAAGTTCAAGGATGAGGATTGGTATATCTATAAATTTTAAGTAACCCAAAATAACAATGGCCCACATGATGAAAATATTTTAGCCATAACCATAATAATAAAATGTTTCTATCCTAGAAGGATATGGGAAAAAATAGAGTAGAGAGCCATATTTGCATTTAAGTTCCAATTTTCTTGCAGATGGACCATGATTAACCACTTCTTTTCCACAAAGCTAGAATTTTGTTTCACTGTGATTAATAAATAAACATCACCCTGAATTGCTTTACGTAGACCTGTCCACATTAGTGTTACCTTCAAATATCCGAAAAGAAGATTAAACCACATACTTTAAATGCACAATATGCACCTAGGTATTTCTATCATTTAGAAAAATGGTCAGCTTTCACTTACTGGTTAAATTATTCTAACCACTGTGATGAGGACTTTTTGCTGCATTTCATGGTTGTTAAATCTACATGTAGTTATTTTTAACAGTATCCACTTGGTCACTTAGTTTTGGAAAATTAGAAAAATAAAATAAAGATATCTATGTATCACTCTCTATACTGACATATTCTTATCAACATTGCCAATAAGGTTTTATCGGCCTCAGGCATGAGGCAAATCTATCTTATTAGTGAAAACTAATGAAAGATCATCCTGACAATGATAATTAATTGCAGTTGTTGACAAGGACTCAGTTCTTTGCACTCCCTTTCTGTTGCTCCTTCTTGGTCTTTCAGCTCTCCTCTCTCAATTAGAGGTATGAAAAGTGCGGCCCTCCCCTTTGAGAAAGAAGCTTTTAGATTAATCATATTATCTTAAGGTTCCAAATCTCCATGCCTGTGTGACCTTTCTTCCGTTAGAATCCATTATCTTAAACTATCACAATAATCCTGGCTTTAGGGAGGGAGAGAGGGAAGAGGAATCAAACCTAATAGATGGCAAATAAGATTAATCTATGATCTAAGTGCCGATTACACTTGGCCCTGCCCTTGAACACCCAGGTGTAACCTTGAAATTCACATCCCCTAAGATGCACCAATTGGATTGAGCATCCCTCAAGGCCTTAAGGGCAGCTGGCCAAACTTTACCCATTAGTCCCCAGCGAGATCCCGAGCTGTCTCAATTTCCACCTCTTTTTACTTGTGGAATTTGGCAGCTGTGCTTTTTCTTGTTTGTTTTGGGATAGTTCACATTTTTTAGATAAAATACTTATTTTGGGGCCCTTGATTTTTGTTTGTCAGAAGCACCCATCCATGGAGGGAATGAACTTTTTTTACCTGGACCTCACAAGAGGAAAACAAATGATCTCGCCCCTAAAATCTGATAGCTGCACCAAAATAAATTCAAGTCTTTGCTTCTTTTAAAATACTGACATACTGATCTCTGAAGCTACATATATTTAAGAACAACCGAGAGGAGGAAAAACTCCCCGATGCAATATTTGTCTTCTGAACTTGGAGCTGATTATTTTTCTTCCACATGGCCTGAGGTCTTAGAAAGGACACCTTTTGGGTAAGACAGAACATGATGTGGGGAAGTCAGAGCTTCTGGTTACAGGGACAGGAAAAGGGATTGTCCTTATTGAAGGCATTTTCAGCCAAGGGGAATATCACTGTGTCAGATAGAGAGAAAAGAAAGAAAACCATAATGTGCTCAAATTCAGTTAGCCCTGTCTCCTGAAATTCCAAGCTGAGCAGGCTGAAAGCTTTCTCATCATGAATCTGTGTGCTCCAGACACCACAGAATTATTAAACTATGAAAGATAGAATAAAATTAAATGCAAACTAAAAGAAGGAACATTAGATCTACACCAGGAAAAGCAAGTGGACTCCTCAAATATCGGAGGTAAAACCTGGTGAGCAGAAAATATGTCCACTTCTCCTAAACACGATAAGCAACTAAAAACTCAGGGCCACGGGTTGCAAAGCCCACTCTTACACCCTTGTTATGTGTCACACTTACTCCATGATGTCTGTCTTGTATATTCCTATGTACAAAAGAGAGGGAATACTTTTGGCAGAGCCCTTCATGCAGAGATTTTTCTCAAATGTTTTCACAAAAGTTGTGCAGATTTAGCCTTAGTTCCTAGTGAGAACGGTCAGACAAAGATCTCGGCAACATAGCCCCTGCATAGCTATTCTGTAATTTTCTTTTCACTGTATAGCTTCATCCCCAACATATCAAAATTAAATTCAATCTCACTGTAATCACATTTTTTTTGTCTTTCAAAAGTAAATCATTACCTTATCTTTTACACTTAGGAGGTGGAATATAGCAAGAATAGAATTAAAACTAGACCTATATCTCTCACCATGCACTAAACTGAAATCAAAATGGATTAAAGATCTAAATATTAAAATAGAAACTCTGAACCAGTTGGAACAGAGGCTAGGTAGAACCCTTGAAGAAATGAAAGTTTTTCAGTGGTCACCTTTCGGAAGCTTACTTTTGAAGCTCATGTGCCTGCCTGTAAGACACGGCAGATACAAGATCCTGGATAGAAATGAGTGCATGATCTGAAACTTGTTGCTTAACTTCTGTGAGTCTCCTGGTGTACAAAGGGATAAAAGGGTATGGAAAGAATTCTGGCCATATAGGGCTGGATATTCCATAACCCTATGGGTGAAATGTGTGATAATCATCAGCTGGTTGGCTTGAACCTTGGCTCTGCTGCTTATTGGCTGTGTGAGCTTTGGTGAGTTGCTTAACCCCTCTGCTTAAATCTTCTCATGTTTAGGATATCAGCAATATTTACTTTATAGTATTTCTAGGGAGGCTTAAAAGAGGAAAATTATTAAGCAGGTATTTAATAAGTGCTATATAGCTGTTCATAATTGTTATTCTTGTGGTCATTTTTAGAAGTTCAATGGCTGATAGTCTTTTTTTTTTTTTACCTTTAACTTGACAGGTCTGGAAAACAATGCTGTTGGTTTCTTAGATTCTTGCAAGGATCACAGCTGAAAAGACAACACAGAAGGGCAGGATTCTGGAAGCTCTGGTAAAAACACAGGAGCTTCTCTTTTGCGTGTTAGGACAGTGACATTGGCACGGAATGTAGGGGCCCTCATCAGCTGTCCAGGGAGGGCCAGCTCACCCCTGGGCAGGAGCCTCATACCATTAAGTCAGGGAGAGTAATGAAATTTCATTTAATTTGTCAGGAGGAAAGTGCTAATGTTAAAAGGCATTTAATAAAAAAGGAAGAGATTCTTTGAAAGGGAGCCCTTAAGTAATTACTTCAAGTGTCTTAGGCCTGCTCACCAGAATATTTACATTAGTGTCTTACGGTGCCAGTGTGTAATTAAATTAGTGCCGCATTTACATTCCCAGCCTTTTTTTTCTTTTAAGGAAGTGTGATTTTATTAATAATCCTCCTTAAAAAAGAGAGAGAAAATGACTTGATCTAATCAAATCTGATGCTAGTGTTTGTTTGAAATGTTCTTGCTGAGTTTAAAGTTGTGTGTGTGTGTGTGTGCCTGTGTGCGTGCATGTGTGCATGAGTGCATATGCACGTGTGCACGTGCATGCGTGTGCGTGCGCGCACAGGTGTGAGTGTGCGGGGACTGGGAAGGGCTGGTTCCAGGGTGGAGTCATGTACTCCTTTCTCATTTCCACTTGGGAAAATGCCTTCTATTGTCTACTCAGACCCGCCGTGGAGAGTCAGGTCAGCGGGCTCGGGCTGTCAGCATCTTTCTGTGTAGCCCAGCTTCTCTTTTCCAGCTGTCTGTGAGGAGGAGAGGACAGATTTGGATGTGTGAATGCAAGGGAAAACTCGAAAGGCAGGCACATCTCTCATGCTTCTGTGTGCACAGAGCTCAGCCGGATCAGCTGGAGTCACAAGAGGAGGGGACCAATGCACATGCAGACATGGTGAGCCCAACGGGACCAGGATAGGATCCATTTTCACCTCTGCAGACAGCTCACATTGAGGAAAATGATCCTTCATTTCTTCGCAAGTAGCCTACTGCTCTTTTCCCAATTGATTTATGGAAGCTTCTCATGAATGGGTCTGTGCAGAGCCTGTATGAATGGCTTACTTTTATCAGGCCTGTCATCCAAGATGCTGTGAGGGGTATTGACAAGAACCTGGGTTGCTCAGTTGAAGACAAAATAAATAAAGTTACATGACAGGAAATGAAGTATCAGTGTATCTCATACAGTTGATTTGAAGATTAAAGGAGATCAGGTTATCAGAAACATTTATAAATTACAGTGTTGATAATTCTATCTATTATAATGACAGCTGGAAATATTTTACTAAGATGCAAATGGGATTAGATAACTCTTATCACTGTCATTCAGTGGCTTTCCATGACCTTAGCCAAACCCTGAACTTTTACATTATCCCTGATAATTTCCAGTCTATCCTTCATGAATCCACTATGCTTTTCAAAATATCAGGTCCTCAATATAGGAAAACTCTCTCATCCCTGGAATTCTGTATGTGTCTTTCCCTCTCTTTACTGAATACTTTAGCCAACAGGCTCATATGCCTATTTTAACTTAAATTTAAAAATATTAAAATTGAGTAAAACCAAGCGTTTATATCCTCTTATCATTGCCAACAACCCAAGCCCTCAGCATCTTTGTATGGTTCATGGGCGCCATATTAAACAATGCAGCTATAGACCATCCATCAGAACAGAAGTGTTACGAGACACCATGGGCCTAGAGGTATCATCTCTACCTTCTGACTTCATTACTCACTTTTCAGTTGGAAAACCCTTCTACAATGATGAAGTCTCTCCCCATCCCTTGCCTTTAATAAGAATTATATAATCTCTTCTAATGTCGCACTATATGGAAGCCGCCTGTGTGCTTATCTGAATTTCCTAGTCAACCACTAGCTAAGTGAGGTGGAAGACTTGTCAGCATCGTACAAAGTATTGATCAGCATCATCCAAACCAAGTAATAGGAATAACATACCCGAGTGTTCACTAAATGCTATTTTAAGCACTTTACATGATCTCCCTTCATTCACAAGTAAGAAATACTACACTGCATACACTTGTGGAAACAATCTGTTATCCCAATATTGCAAATGAAGAAGGTAAGGGACAAAGAAGTAAACTACTAGTTTAGATCTTGCAGACAGCAATGAGGAGAGAAGGGTACAGGGCCAAGCAGTTTGATACTAGCTTATGCACTGAAAAGATGTATGCAAAGCTATGAACAGTGACTAAGGGAGACAGTAGTCTTTCATAATATCACTGTGCTTTAAAATAGTACTAGATTTTCCAACTAGCCTCAGACAGTATGTTTTCTTTTAATAAGTGCTTTATGCTTTCTCTCCCTCTCTTCAGCTCCTAATTGTAGTGTGAATTGAGAAGGCATGTTATGCCCTCCTCTACAATTAAGAAACCTGAAGTCTAGAGAGGACAAGCAAGATGAAAGTCTAGAGGGTTAATACCATCAAGTCAAAGTAAGACAGCTTTGGCAAGTATTCAAGTGACATGAAGCATATGGACAATGGATCCGAGTCATCAGTTTTGATTTTTCTTGGGTTTAATGCCGTACTTTTCTCACTGGCCAAGTCAGATTAATTAGCAGAATCATTTCTTTCTCATAACTGAATAGGTTACTGATGTTATTTGTTAGCATGAAATAACTAGACATTGTTCTCAACAAATTAAGATGTCTATAAATACGTCCCCAATCAGACATTAAGCCTCATGACTAGTGAATCACTACAGCTATTAATAAATCAATACTGTGGCTATGCACATAGACTTAATTTTATTGTTTCAAACTGAATGCTGCTCCCATGAAAAAGAGGCTTTTGAAAGCAAATTTGTTTAATGTGAAATTTGGGAGTTTCTCATTATGATCGAAACTTAAGATTATATCTTTTTGCAATGTCTACATGCACTGTTAAATATGAACAGAGGGTTAATCCACTCCTAAATTAGATTATATTTCAAGGAGACCAAAGTATCAATACAGGAAACTTTTATGTCCTGAATTTTGTACACAAAAAGCTAATAGCTAGCTAGCAATCTGAGAACTTACATCAAGCAAATGGTGTGCTGTGAACTTTACATAACATATTTACATATTTACTCACTTATTCTTGACAAAAAAAAATCTATTATTATTATCATGCAAATGAGAAAACTAAGGCATAGGGATGAAATGCCTTGCCTAAATCAGAGTCATTGAGTGTCAGGGCTGTGATTCCAACTTCTACAATGTAATTCCACAGCCCATTTTCTTAACTGCTGCTCTTTATTTATCACCTCCCACTCTGCAGGTCTAGGGACTCAAAATTTAGGAATTTAGCATTACTTTTCTAAAGGAATTAGAAAGACCTTCCCATGTTTTCATTTGAAGGATAACATTGAATTTGAATATGCAATTTGGATTGTCAGTATAGATTCAAACAAAACAAAACTGCTATGTCCAAACAGGAAAACATAAGAAAAGGATTGTGATCAAATTGAGTTCTTCAATTAAACTAAAGAATTTACCTAACTTCAGAAGAGTACTAGGGAACAAGTATTTATAATCCATTTTATGCTTATATTTTCTTACTTTGTAATTTATATCATTTTGGCTCAATAAAAGCAAAATGCTCTAGTTATAATTCTTTAGAGAATTTTTCTAATTTGCTCTCTTATATGGTGGATTTTGAACTTTAGATTACCATGTGTTTCTGCCTACAGTCAAATACTGGCCTGTATAAAACTAAATGTACCTCCTCTTCTAACACAAAGTAAATCAAAAGTGTGAAAATAATGTAGTTTAAAAACGTGTTCAAAAATCGCTATTAGCAAGAGCTTCAGTCAAAATGCAGATGTAATTTTTCTCCCAATCATAAAGTGTCACTAATGACATTTTGTAAATATATGGATTGCACTCTCTTTCTGGGGAGCTATTTATAAAGAGCCTACAATGGCTCATTTTGGCAGTTGGCCATTTTAGTTACTTAGGAGGATCAACTCGAGATGGGATCTGATAGGGTCTGCTGTAATCCGTCCTTTAGATGAGGAGGAATCGAAAAACTGGAAGCTACTGAACCAGTCAGTTCAAAGGGAAGGAAAACACATCCCTGCTTTTTAAAATTCTAAAGTAGCTGGAAAAACACCATCAGTGTTTTTTGTCTCTGGAGCTCATTCTCAGGCTGGGGAAAGAAAAGAACAGCAGACCACTCTGCTTTTGGAAAGAATGCTTTTTGAAGAAGGTAGCATGCCCCCAGAGGGCATGAAACAGTCTCAGCTCTTAGATGCTATTAAAACAATCTCTGACATTCTTTAGAGTCAAACTCCTGGCAGAAGAAAACATCCAAAGGCCCCCAAAACCGTATTTTCGGCATTTAAAAAAATAGATATTGAAATGGGGGAAACAGATTCAGAAGAAATGATTTGTAAGGATGTGGTTAAAACTATTTATACAGCGGGTTCTATTTGTTTTACAGCGAGTGCTGCGCGGACAGCAGGAAAGGTTATCTTTGACAAGGTTTTAGCTATTATTTTCTTCCAGTGAAATGGTATTTCTTGAGAAAAAAAGGTCTTCGGAACAAAATAACAATAAATCCTGATTTAGATACATAAACCTGCCATTGATATCACATAATATCAGTGTTCTTTCTCACTCGATACAGGCGTTTTAAAGATAAATGGTAAAACTGAACTGGAAATCCATCTGGCCGGCTGCCTGCTCTAATGAATAACCCCACTTTGGCTCGTGCAATGTAAGCAGAAAGTTCTCTCCCGGCCTCTTTCGTCCGTCATGAATCTACAAGACAGCCAACATAATATCTGGGCGACAACAGTGCGCTAACAGCGCAGTGACTTCCATTTTCTTTGCTTTCTATTGATTTTCACTTAATAACTGGCGAAATACTAAACGTCCGCCCTGAGTACCTAATAAATCCTGCCTGAGCTTTTTATTGAGGAGAATTTAATAAAAACAACCATTGTGGCTGAGGGATTTTTCTTCTGGACAGAACATAGGGGTAGGGGACAGCAGGGTTGGGGCCAGAGGAAGCCATTTTTTTTTTCTTTTCTTCTTTTTTTGTACAAGATTTCTTCCTTTTGGAAAAGACTGGGCATGCCTCTGTCAAGGATCCCTGCGGTTCTGTGTGTTTTAACCGGGTCCCTCTGAGAAAGGGTTGTGAATCCCACAGTGAGGCTCTCCGGCCAGTTTGAGGACGGGGTGTTGTAAGGAAGGCTGCCAGGGCTTGGCAAAAGCCAACTCTCTGGTCCTTTGGTAACAGATTTTAAGTTTTAAGTGGCTGTCAGAGATCTATAACAATATGCCTGTCACTGCATGATTGAATCAGTAGTTTAAAGCAGGTGTGCCTTGGCCTGCCTGTGGGGTCTCTGAGACTTCTAACAGAATTCTAGGTAATAAAAGAAGTGTCAGTGAGAAGAGAGTACGTCAAGGTCATTCCACTTAATGCTAATGTGAGGGTAACAAATCCGCTTTTGACAAACAGAAAGCAAAAGTTCCGGGGGGGTTAGGTAATCCCAGTTCGTCTGGAAGCTGAGGCAGGAAAAGGAGAAGTTCAAGACTAGTTGGGCAATTTTAGTGAAAACTGATTTCAGAGAGAAAGAGTGGGTGGGAGAAATGAGTGATGGAGGAAAAGGAACAAAGGAAGGAAGGGAGGATGGGAGGAATGAAGGGATTCTACTTGTGGCTTTGTTTAAAATCCCCCAAAATTGGGAAACAGGAGTTTTGCCTTGTATCATTTTCCTCTGTATACACTTTAGGGCCATTGTAGATGCTTCAGAAAATCTCTTCAATCTCTTTCTTTGAAACATAGTTTTGTTTTGTGCTCGGGATTGAACTGGGCCTTCACACTGAGCTGTATGTCCAGCCCTTTTTAAATTTTCACTTTGAGACAGGGTCTCTCTAAATCACTAAGTTGCTCAAGCTGACTTGAATTTATAATCTCCTTCCTTAGCCTCTCCTAGTACTCTTATTAAAGGTGTGTGCCATCAGTCACCTGGTCCTTTAAAAGCATTTCACAGCTATAGCTGCTTCCACTTTTCATATTTTTATTGATCTGGGAGCTACTTTCAAGTCACTGGGTTTCTTGAACCAATGTTTAAGCATGTCCTCCTGCAATGCATCTAATCCATTCCATTCTCCACAAAATTTCTGACTAAGGATCCATGTATTTAGAAAAATGAAAAACTGGAAATATATACCCTTCAGCTGAAGTAAAGAGAGCGCCCCCCCCCCCAATTCATGGGCCTGAAGCTTGGGTGTCCTTATTATAAAAACCTCAGTTTTTCCTGCAAAGCCGTGTGGGACTCGATGAGTTATTGAGGAGGCAGCCCTTCCTACAGGATGTAGAGACAAAGGCCACGTGAGGCCACAAACCTCCTGTCAAAGGGCCTGAATTGAAAACCTTGCTTTTCAGTTACTTTATCCATGAAGCAGAGACACTAGTTCAAACATAGCATGGTGAACATCATCTCACCACAAATCCATCCCCTCAGGGTGCTTAGCAAATGGTACCCGGGACCCTCAGTGAATGGTGTCAATCAATCTACTTGGTTATGGGTTGCAAGAGCCTAAATCCCAGACATTACCCCTTTTTTCTTCACTGTTCACAGCCATCTGGCTTAAAAACTCTGTCCCAGTTTCCTTATCTCTCTACAACAGAGCCGATGTCAAAATTTGTGGAACTGTGAAAGAAGTTAATGCAAGTGAAGCGTTAAGACGTGTTCTCCATGTAAACTGGCCTTCTGGGGACATGCTGCTGATGTCCCTGTGCTCCATCAGGCACCACGAATGCGCCGCTCTGGTGGAAGTTATTGGTAGTGCAGGTGGCTGTACCTGTGTGGGGACCAGAAGCATATGGGAAACCTCTACACTTCCTAATCAGTTCTGCCCTGAACCTAAAACTACTCGAGTAAGTAAAGTCTTTTTGGGTTTTTGTTTTTTTTTTTTTGGTACCAGGAATCGAACTCGGGACCTTGCGCTTGCGAGGCAGGCGCCAGAACCACTGAGCTAAATCCCCGGCCCCTCGAGTAAGTAAAGTCTTAAAGTATCCACACATCTAGAAATATTAAAAACTTGTTTGTTCATGTAATTTATAAATACTGCTCTAGAGTAACTGAAACCAAGTTGCTAATCATTTACAAAGGAACAGCAACCTAACGATTCTGAAAAGGAGACTTTAATTTTGATATTTATGCTTTCTTTAACTCCAACTTTTCTTTTTGTGCATTATATCCTTTCCTTGTCCCTTTTTTATTAACAAAGAAATGGAAGTTAAAATCTTAGTATTTTCCTTTTTCTGATCATTTTGTTTCTCTCCCTTTTCAGAGAATCTCTGTTTTTGGTTATTATTGAACTATTTCATTCTCTCCTGGGCAGGATTTTGGTGTCCTTGTGTCAGATAGGATAGCACTGGTGGAGATTCAGCAGGTCTCAGTGTCTCAACCCCAAGCTGAGATTAGGGGAAGGACATTTCAGACTTGACTCTGGCTTTGGCTGGATGCCCTCTAATTGGGACACATAAAGGTGTATTGCTATTCAGATAATGTCTTCCCCTGCTCAACAAAAGGTTGTTGTACCGAGCTGTGATTGTGACAAATGATTTACTATTAGGAACATTCTGTAATTATTGTTCAGTGGGACCGCAGACCGATACATCATTAACATGATAGACGGCCTTTTATATCAGCAAAAATAACTAAATTAATAAAAATGGCTTCATTCCAAACCCTGTCAGAAAGCCAATACTCAGAACAATCAAGTAGCAGTGATACCTGAGAAAGCTGTAGTTTATATCCCCCAACAAATCATGTTTTATGCATAAGTAATAAAATATTTGTATATATAATCCCTATAGTATAGATCTGAGTCATATAGCATATTTTGGTAGATATCAGCCCTAAATAAAAATATGATACACAAATGTTTTCTCTTAAATGGTTTAGATTTGAATTTATCCCGTAATGTGATTGGTTTGCAGTTCTAGAATATTAAATTTTGCCTATGAATTATTTTCTTTCAAGATTTATTAAGCTATGGAAACATTTTTAATGTAGAGCTTACAGCCTGAAATATTTTTCTACTTTCTTTTCTTTCCTTCCTTCCTATCTTTTAAATTTTCCTCTCTTCTTCTTTTCTTCTTTTCCTTCTTCCTTCCATCCTGCATCCCTCTTTTCCTCTTTCCCTCTTTTTCTTCCTTTCCTTTCAACAACAAGCCAGTAATATAGCATTACATCCTAAGCTTCATATTTCTGACACTTCTACTTGGAGAAACAGGGAAAAGAAAGAGTTCTCCATATTCTGTTGAATAGATATAGAGAAACCAAGTATAAACCACAGGCTTGCCTAAAAAAAATTGTTATTTCTGATTAGAAATCACAATTATACTACAAGATTTTTGTTTTTAATACCGATAGCAAATTTCAACCTAAAAGCAACTATTTTAATAATGGGAACCTCCACGAAAATCTCAGAATAGAATCTCTTAAGAAATTGGGGCAAGAATAAACAGAACTCAGCTATTCAGGGTTCTTTTGTTTTCTCCCTCCCTTGCTTTTTATTTTTCAATGCAGTTGTTACACCACTCATTCTCCAGAACACCTGGGGGTGAGATGTGTTTTTTAAATCCAGAAGTGATTGTATTTTGGAAGGTAACACAGCAATATATCCATCACCATCACCATCAATACACTTGCAACAACATACACACACTAATTAGGATAAATAAAGATTACGTTTACTGCACATCTATCAGGTCTCATTTTACTACAAATGAGTTCAAGATTGGTCAGACTGTTTGCTAGAGTTCCCTCCCACTCCCCAGCTCCCCAAATGTTGATTTTTCTAGAGACTTCTAGATTAACGGTTTACAAACATGGGATCGGTGAAGAGCCCAAACCAATGCTGAACATTCTACTAATTTAACGTAGACCAAATTCACTCTAGTGAGCCTATTTTGAGATTTTATGACTTTATTCTTTAGTGCAATTGTAAATTGACAGTAAAAGTGAAAACAGGGAAGAGAAGTTTCCTGCTTATCCCCTGCCCTTTTGCATGCATTTAGAAGGGCTTTTCTGTTGCTTAAAAAACTGGAAATCACCATCTTTTAGATACTCAATAAAATATAGTTTATTGATTGAGCAATTGTATTGCACCATAGTGTAATAAACCTTTTAGAAATATGCCCTTTTTATTTATAGTTCTACAGAAGTTTGAAAGGTCTAATGTTTCAACCTTTGATAAACTCTATTCACTACAGAATTTATTCTGAAAAGTGTCCATGCCCTTGATAAAAAAGTGTAAAACTAGTGTGTAACTGTCAGAATAATAGATACTTTATTAAACATATTGTCTTAAAAGCAAGATTTCTGTCCAAAATTATTTAAAAACATATTGCTACGATAGCTTAGTGCTTCCGATCTTCCGCCATAAATGGACACAGTCACCATGGCTGGTTATAATGGGGAAATAAAACAGAATTGTAGCTCGAAGACATTGAGACAATGTGAACAAAAATCATTTTAATTCTGAAACCAAAGGAAGTCAGAAAGCAACCCCGTTAAGTATTGTGCCTGGTGAGGGGAGGAATGCAGGTGAAGGATTTTTGAAGGATTCAGAAAAAATCTTCCCAGAGTAGATAGTGAAAATCATGCAATTGTTTTTATGGCAAAAGCTTGATTGAGACCTATTTTAAACCTTGTCTTTTCTGCTTTGCACTTCTCTTAAAGGAAGACAAATGCCCTTGAAAAGGAGTCTTAAAAGTATGATTCACGGACTTGGGAAGAATTACAGGATGCAGACGGCCTAGCGAAGTGCCTCCCCCCAAGGAGTTCACATTTCCTTCCTCTTAATCTGAGTGAACCATTAAAAAGTTAGTCAGTCCCCTGGAGGCTCTTCCCAAGGAATCTCCTCAAAGGAAATACTCCATGCTGGAAAGGTAATTTACCTAGACAGGATTTAAGAAGCAAGGTTCCAGTTCAGAGATAACCAGTAACTTCACATAAGCAGATAGATGGGACCTTTTCAGGATTTTCACTAATGTTAGTTAACCAATTAATGTCAGATAATCAACAACAGCTACAACCCAAAAAGCACCACTTCTATTTCTGACTCGCATATTTATTTATTCTTATTTGCAATTAAATCCCCAAAGTGATAGTTTCACAGCTGCTGTATTATCAAAAGGGAAACATGTAATATATTGCTTTTTCCTGAAAGCAGGCTCCCATTGAAGCCATCAACATTTTGTATTTTATTCTGAAGAATGTTTTGGATCATTTTAGCTAGTGGGAAAACTGTTTTCTTAGGGATGGGATGTGGGAGGGGAATGCAATTCTGTGCTTTGTACCTTAGGGAGTGTTGTGGTCACTCAGTTGCTGAGATCCTCGGGAAGCTGGACTTCAGAGCTGATTCCCTTTTATGGCAAAATAACTCATGAATTTCTCTTTTTAAAGTCCATTGGAAAAAAAAAAAAGAGCATGATTACTGCAAGCTGCAGCTGTGAATAGTTGTGAAGCAGCTCAGTTTCCCATCTTTATCCAGTCCCTCTCCCCTGCCCCTACTTCTCACTATCTTACCATGCTGTACAGTAATATGATAGGACAGAAAAATAAATGAAGGCTTTGGATCATTTCAATTCCTATCAATACATTAATTTCCAATGTTTTATAGACCATAGCTAAGAAGTTGACAATTACACTACATGTATCCAGAACTTCGCATTTCCCATGTCCAGGTTCCCATCGGAAAATTTTTACTGATGATCATGAGATCGCTGTCACAATTTGTTCCTCAAATTCTATCAGGACAGACTCAGAACATTTGCACAGCCTTTCAGCTGGTTACTTCATAGTTCTTTCTTAGTGGAAAATGAAGAGAACTATAAACACGGAGAGATAAAAAGTGTAGGATTTGGGCTATGGAAGGAAGGTTCTATACGCGGTAAAGAGTAAGGAAGACAGAACAAGGCAGAGGGATAGCACCTTCTCATCTTTTGCTTACATCTTCAGAAATCTGAAGTATTAGACTCTGAAGCACTGGTGGATTAAAGTTGCCTCAAAGACCTTCATGTTATGTAGCTATGGGGCAGAGTTCTGCTACTACACTGTACTACAAACTAAAGTCAAGAGCAAAGCAAAGTTTGTGGATACTTTTATTTGCATATATTTAATACATGCATTTGTTTTAGCATGTGAATGAAAGGCTGATGGTGAGAAGTGTGTTTCTGTTTATATCAAATTTAAATTATCTGATTACAGAGCAAAGTTAGAAGACTGGAAACCACCCTTTTGGTGCCTCATTTGCCAGTAAACACGGTAAAACTATTCTCATTTGATAAATAATTTGTCCTTTTTTTTTGGTCCTATGAAGTATGAAAAAAAAGCTAGGAAAAATTCCCTTTTTTAAAATTTGCTTTTATAAAACTCAATCCACAGGCCTGCATATTACATCCACATTTTTCTTGTGTGTGTTTTGGCCATGTGGGTGGAATTTTCTGTGATAAGAGGACCACCAGTCCAGTGTGCATGGTGTGGGGTTGGGCCAGTTGAGTAGGCCCCACTGGGGCTCCAGGGAAGAGAGCCAGGAATTCACAGCCTTGATTACTCCCAGAGTTTGTTCTGCTTTTAAGCTAACTATGTTCTTCCTGGTAAAGCAAACTTGGTAAAGCAGAAGCTCAGGCAATGCCTCTTCTGACATTTCTCCAAGTGAAATGAGAAAGAAGGCACCTTAGGAAAACTGGGTCCTTGTATGAGTTTCTATTAGAAGCTTGAATATTTTAAACTAGCTTTCATGATGAAATAGGTGAATAAAAGTAAAAGTATCTTTATTGGTTAGCTTTTCATTGTATGCTCATACAACTTATATATGCCATGCACATTTTAAAAATAGCATAAAAATCAAAATATTAAGATTTCTTCTAATTGTGATGTTTCTTTTTAGTGTCTATTATTGAACCCAATTTGGTAACTACTTATGGTCGACATTTAAGCTGCTAACTATGTGTTGGAGATATTAAACTGGTGGAGATAATACTGGAGTTTGCTCAAATGGTTCTAATGGTTAGAAACCAACTTTGATATTCCTGACTTCATAGGTGAGGAATTATCAACTTTCTTTCTTGATATGTTTGGTTTCAGCACTGTAACTAATTTTTCATCTCTTTTGGTCTCCATACTCTTTGATAAGTGATTTTGTCATGTGACTGAAGGGCAAGAGCTTATGAACTTCTCTTTTAGGGCTTTCCATAATACTCTCCATGACCAATAGAATAAGGTGGAAATGACAGCATGCCTGAAGAGCTTTGTAAGGTGCTGCTTTCCCTCTTGTGATTCTGTTGTGGCTGTGAGAACATGTCTGGGCAGCACTGTTTCTCCCAACTGAGCCATTCCAGCCAAACTTATCGATGATCTATAAGTCTCAATTGACCTACAGATGTATGAGTGATAATAAATCACACCTGCCTAAAGCCACTGCAATTTAGAATGGCTTACTGTATAGCAGTAGTTCACTGATGCAGTCATTCATTCCTTCATTCATTTATTAATTCCCAGGCATCAGTTGGATATTGGCTAAACCACAGGCTCTGTGGCTGAGCCCTGAATTCCATAGTGGAAACTTCCAGAGGAAAGAGATACATGAAGCAGTAAATAAAATAGCTCTACAAAGAGGTGTGTTAAATCTCTGCAGTGTGAGCTGTGAATCCTTAACATGCTATGAAAGGCATCCTAGAAGAGAAGGACTAATGCTGTAAGAAATTATAAAGAGTGAAGAGTAAGAATGTACTAAATTGGATATTGAAGGAAAGACCTGTCCTAGCAAGAGAAAAAGATAGCCTTTGCCAATATCCTAATGCTGAGAAAGAGTACACAGCAAAGAATTTGAAGAAGAGGGAATCATGCCTTCCATTTTTCTGAATCCCACATGGTGTTTCACACAACCATGTCAAGTATGGTCAGCGAATGTCTTAGCAATACTGTTGGTCACCGTCTTGAGTGGAAAGGAGAGAAAATATTTAAGAAAAGTCGCTCTAAAATTGCTTGGCTCTTTATCTAAATTCAGACCAAATAATTTGAGAATGTCAAACTGAAGCAGGAAGTCTTTTGATTATTTGTGGTGTTTTTTCTTCACTTCCTGCTTTGATCTTATACCACAGGGACCAAAATATTCTTAGGGAAACTACTTCCTTGATATTTTTGGCATGTCTCTCACCAGGAAATTGGTGGAAGTGTCAGGGGTCCCATTTGCAAGAGATTTTCATTTAAACCATGAGAGGGGGCTGTGCCTGCTTCCTCACCATTCAAGGGTTTAGAAGTTGCAGTTTGTACATTTTCACCACCAAAGAGCTATGTTGAGTAAAGGGTCAGGAAGTCCTTAAAGGCCCCACAACCAAATTATCTTAGCTACCAAGTTAGAAGTCTGACATTTAGTTTGCATAAAACTACCAAGTAAGATGGTATGGAATATAAGTGTTCCTATAAGAAAGATGAGCTGAGGTAGGTAATTGGTGTCAGTCTTTCTCCATTTAGAAGTTGAAAGGGTTTGCTCTGGGGATGAGAAAAAAAAAGTGGTGAAAGATCCCATTAATTAAGGAAAAAACTGTAACTGGACTTGTGTTTTTCAGGCTGGAGTGCTTAGCATCATGCTCCTTAAATTCTTGACTTTATATGCTTCTCAAATTATCTAGAACATAAAACAGGAACTGTGGACAAAGCTGAAAAAGAGAAACAAAATGTTTCCAATGTCTTAGAAGAAAAAGGAACAAGTCAAAAAAATGGCATCCAGAATCGTAAAGACTGAAAGGACAGAACGTGGTCTGCGGTGGTGATGTTTATTTTTACAATGGTGAAATTACTAGTAAACTTGGCATGCAGGAAGTGCGGAAGGGACCAGAAAGGAAGAAGAGGAAAGAAAGAAGACACTACATCTTTAAATTGAATTGAATGTTCTGTGACTTTAAATGAAAGCTCTTCTGTTGTTGGGCAAATAAATTTAAACCACTTAACATGGCAGAGAAGGTCAGGCAAGCTTATTATAGTGATCATAGCGTTACAGCTATTGCGATTGACCGCTGCTCTCTGGAATCACCAATAATCAGAGACCGCAAGCTGTGTTTGCAGAGAAAGGTCATCATTCATTTTTTTCAAAGCATTAATATCTTTTGTTTGTTTGGCTCAACATGAAACAGGAATCGATAGAGGTAATTCACAGAGCAATTAGCCTCTCATCTGTCAAACAGCATCTGGGTGTATTTAACAAAAAGACCTTTGGAAAGGTTTAAAAAAGGAAGAAAGTGCCTGTGCGATCAACAATTTATATTTTCTACATGACATGTTGTGTATGTATCTGTGAAAAGGGGGGCCTTGGGAGTAAGAAAATATATATAAAACATGCTGTAAATCTACACTTCAATGTTCTGATGGTGCTGTGCAGATAGACCAAGGAAAGCTCAGATTACATCTTCAGGTGGTTGCCAGGAAGCCAACGAGGAGTTCTTGGGGTCTTTGTATCATAGATGAACACAGCTGGGTGCCTAAGTTTCTCAGGAAATGAGATCTCCTGAAAAAAACTTCCAGTGGACAGTGTAACCAGTTGGAGTAGGTCAAGCCTTATGAACCAATGGTCACTGTTGGTATCAGAGGATTTGATTTTGGGGCCAGGCTTGACTGCTTCTGAAAACCATCACAGCTGTCCTCTGAGCCCATCGACTGGCGGGGACAGAAGTCTGCGAACGGAGTTGGCCTTCCCCACACATCACTCTCGCACTGACCCTCTCTTCACGTCTACTCTGCCTACATAAAATAGAATGAATTGAAAAATTAAAAGTTTTTTTTAAAATAGTGAATGTTGACTGAGATCAATTTTTTTTTTTTACTGAATTTCCAATATGCACACTTTGGATTTAATGAAATGCATATCAAAGATTAGACTTTTGAAAAAATTCAGCCACTGGTCTACACATTGACACAAATGCTATTACTTTCAGCAGGACCAGATGTATTTTGGGAATGTGTTGTGTTTTTTTTTAATCCATTGGCTCTTCCTTCTCAATTTTTTCTTGATTTTTCTTTCTACCACATCATAACCCTTCCTTTATTTTTTTTTGTTTCTTTTTCTTTAATTTTGATCTTTATCCAACCCATAAGATCATGGCCAAAGAAAGAAATCATGAGATTAAAAAAAGAAAATGAACTTATAAAAGTTCGACTTAGTTTATGACTTGAGAAAATGTTTTAGGGTTCAAATCTAGGTTTTTTTTCTTAATATTCAAACACTCTAACTGGTTGCCTATCTACTTTTAGGGTTCTTTCTGGGTAATTATAAATTATTTTATCTAGAAATTATATTACAGAGTTAAGTGAAAAAGCAAGAGGCACAATGGAACTTTGAATAGAATCACAACAGTAGAGGAAAAAATTCCAGCAAAAGATTGCAATGAAATAATATTTACATGATATTGTCTTTGAAAGGAAGTATTTAAAGGTTAGTTTTCTTTCATTCAATTTCTGTATTTTCAAAATTTTCCATCATATGTCTACTATTAACTGTAAAAAGTAAAATATTAAATTTAATACAGTAACACAAAGATGCTATATTTTATACTGATCTCAGATAACCAGCTTTTCCTTTTCTTCTTTTTTTGTGAATATTTCCCAACACTATACATGATTTTATAGAAATGGAGTTTTCAGCGCCAAAACTAAAATCAGTTCTTAGGGTCTTATAAAATTGCACAGAGCATTCACTATGCCACCCTGGCTGTAAGGTTGAAGATGAGAGCATTGTGCATCTAAATTTCTAAAATAATGAAATCCTATTATAAGTGAAATTCAGTATCAAGTGTTTGTCCTCATCTTACAATTTTGAGTGTGCAATTTAATCCTAAAAGTATGTTGACACTGTGTTTGTCTCCTCACAACTTTTTAAAATATATATGTGAGCAGTGTTAGAAGTTTTCTTTCATTTACCACATGGCTTCTTTTAATTAGATAGGTTCTCCGTGACCCACAGACATTAGCTAATAATTATTTTCCAGACTTCCAGTTTCTAATGCAAACATCACAATCATCAATTGCCTGGGCTTGATTTTCTTTTCAAGAAAACACCATAATATACTTCAACAACAGTCCAAATCATCCCACCTTCCAAATGGTTATTCATACTCGGGAGTCATTATTTGCTTGTTAGACTGTCTTAGGGGTGGGTCTGACTTCCACTGGCTTTGCAAATTCTTCTGATTTGTAAATCAAAGCTGAGTTAGAAAGATGGACTGCTGCCTCCTCTGGGCTCTGCTCAATGTCACAGGGGTACAGTCCATCAGACAAACACCTAATAAGCATCAGTTCTGGCTGCCTTCCAGGGAAAACCATGTCATGCCATTGAATAACACTTAGGACCCAATCTTTCATCCTCCTTCTCCATAACTAAATAAATTGGGAAAAGGTCTTGCCCTGTCTCAAGATAACAAGAAGTTTAAAGAACTCACTAGTGTTTCATGCTGCAGACCCTGAGCTTTTGAGGCTTGAACAAAAGCAAGATGGCGGCATTCCTAAAGTTCAAAGGCAGTTGTGGTAGCAAACCGGTACTGACAATCCGTTTTTTCACTTGATGGGCACAAATAATCCTGCTGCAAACAGGAAGGGGATTTGGATTGAGGACTGAAAGAAACTGCGCTTTGACCTTTTAGTGCTACCCTACACATAGTCTAATCATCTAAAGTAGGGGTCGGCAAACTTTTTCTGTGCAAGGCCAGAGATTTAATATTTTATCCTTTGTGAGCTGGGCCACTTTTCCCTCATCTATTCCCTGCTGCTGCCATGTTTCTGACAACATGAAGGAAGTGAGAGCTGACCGTGCCAGTACAATTTCATTATGGACATTGGAATATGATTTTGCATAATTTTATATATCACAAAATTATATTCTTAAGTATTTTTTCCAATCATTTACAAATGTAAAATCTTGACTTGCAGGTGATTCACAAGCATCCATGGGCTGGATATGGGGCTTGGGTCCTAATTTGCTGATCTCGGCTCTGGAGTCTTGAAGCTCAAGTTCAAGTTTGTGATTCAGAGCATACAAAATGGCTACTTCTTGGCTACTTCTCTATTTTGTGACAGCTGTTGCACTACTTAACTATCATCACATGTGAATAAAGATGTTTCTCTTTAACTTGAATCTAATCTTGTTATTTCAGAAAAGGCACACTAAACTTTTAAAACTCAGTAACTCTAAAAGAGAGGGTCTTAATTATGTGTGACTCAGGCATTGCTGAGAATAAGCACAAGGAGATCAAATGAAATTGCATATAACCATGTTTTTCTATGATAAAAAGTAGATTTTCTTTTCAGGAAAATCCATGATACAAAAAACCCCCCTAATATCAATTAAAGTATTTATTCAGGTAGAAAAATATACAAATGATTATTAACTTTTTAGAACTACTTGGTAGTAAAGGAAAATGTTTTCCTTTCTAATGTAAGTTGAAATAAATCAGAGTACAAAAATCTATACTTGTGTGTGTATTTCATTTACACATATATCAGGAAGATATAAACTAAAACTTTAATGATATTTAAGGAGGCGATTGGATCAATTTGTCAGGCGTTTTTTTTACTTCTCAATACTTGCAATATGTATACTTCTTTCATAGTGAAGAAAACACGATGTACAAGATCGCCCTTTGCTCTTAACTTTCTAAAGCATTTCAATGGAGACACATATACGAGAGATCATATTTACAGGAGAGATCATGAAATAATCTGCATGCTACATCGATCACTGGAAGGCTTTTTGATAGCAATGAAGATAACCTCCAGTGAGCACATAAAAATAATTACCTGAGAGTTGTACAAGTTTAGCATTTTTATGACGTGCAAATAAAGAAAAGGAAGGAATAAACATGAGATCTCACAAAGAAGACAGCAGTAACTATTGGCAAAAAGAAATAATGGATGTTTTTAAATTCAGAAAAATTTTGGCAGGTCAATAGAACTGAACAAGAAAGAGTCAATATACCACCCTCCCTTGTTATTCAAAAAATGAACAAAGCCCTAATTACTCTGTGGCATCAAACTATTCTATTTATAACTAAAGTTTGTTAAAAGCTTGCCTTCCTCTTCATTTATAGGTTTTTTTCAAAGTAAATTAACTGAAGCCAAATAATTTAATTTTCATTCATGTAATAAAAAGGGATTTTTTTCCATGCATTGTTCAATGTGCATGTGTATTTTAAATAATTTTAAGAAAGCAGATCTCAACCCATAGCCCAACACATGATTCCTGCATCCATACTTATGCCCATTACATTCTGGACACCACTAGGAAGAGTTAAGAGTAGTAGTTTATTTTGCCATAATTAAAAGGAAAGATCCTAAAAGGAGCTCGGAGAAGACTGTTATATTAAAAATGTTAACAAGTATCTGGTTTTAAGTGGTCGAGTATCAACATATATCTATTAATGTGGTTCAGTGCTCGGAAGACAAACAAGAGTCTCGGAATAATAGAACTAATGACATCTCAGCAGTAAAATAAAGGTATTCCAGCCATTTGCCAAGTTTTGGCCTAACAAGTTAGTATTTGAGAATAATGCTAGGCATGACAATAATTTTAGACAGACGATAAGAATAGAAATATACCTGAGAAAAATATTACTAAGTGTATCTTTCTGTCCCTCTCTTTTCTTGCTTTAATTCCATAGAAATCTAATTTTCAAGTAACCAAGCTGACTGGTAGACCTGTAAGGGAAAAGACCTTTCTGTGTAGGACCCATTTACTTTATTTCTCCTAATCAAATTCGCTCACCAATTGATGCTCTTGGAGCTTTTCCCCAGACTGACAAGAATCAGGAGTATTCTGGGGCTTTTTGAGCACTCTAATCTCCTGAGATGGTGATTTTCTATCTTGCCAACTCAAATGGAGTCACCAGGTACCATCCACAGGTCCTGATAGCTTTTCAGCATGTTCTAGATGAACAGAGAGGGAATGTGATTGCAGGCTTCAGTTTTTATTCCTCTAGATTAAGAATAACAGGTTCATTTTAACATTCAAAATGTATCTCTGAAAACTTCAGCTCTCCATTGGAAGCTGCTGATTGAAACTTTATGACAAATGAGAGATGTTGACTCCAGTGGTAGGTTCTGCACTATTGTTTTTGTCAGGGACATGCTGTGTACGATAGCTCCCACCCCAATCCATGGTGTTGCTTCCTGTGGATTCAGTTACCAGCAGTCAACTGCAAGCTGAAAATAGTAATGGAAAATTCCAGTAGGAGACAGAGCACATTCAGATAACTTTCATTACAGTATATTTGATAATTGCTCTGTTCATTGTTGTCAGCCTCTTACTGTAAATAACTCATAAATTATTCTGTATCATTGGTGAGAATATATACAAAAAACATAGTACCTATAGAGCTCATCACTGTCCAAAGTTTCTGGCAACCACCAGACACCATGGAAGGTATTCCTCACAAGTAAGGGAGACCACGTATTATTAAACTCATAATACTGCATATCACCATTTACAAGCACTAAGTGAATTCTACTGAAAATGTTCTTATCAACTGAAGACTTCTGTGATACTTTATATAAGTATTCCCCTAAAGTGTCATGGATTCAGAGGTAGGGCTCTCACAAGGTGACTGGATCATAGGGGTACTCTAAGTATCAGTAGATTAACTGATGAGTTCATAGCTAATTGTGCTATAAGGAGAGCCAGGTTGCAAGAGATGAGTTGTTGAGGACTTGTTTTTGGAGGCTGTATCTCTCTCCTTGCCTCTTCCCTTCTCTCTCTGTTTCCTGGCTGCCATGAGATGAGCAGCCTTTTTCTGCCATGCCTTTCTTCCATGATGTTTCTGTCTTGGAGCCAAGTAACCATGAACTGAACCCCCTAACTCTGAGCCAAATTTAACCTCTCCTCCTGTAGGTTGTAGATGTTTCATAGTTTGTCCCAGTGTTGGAAAAGCAGCCAATATAACAGCAAGAGTGGCCGGAGTAAGTTATGGAAAACTTCACAGAGGAGGTAGAACCAGTACATTTGGATGGGTGTAGACATAAGGAGAGGCAAGGAAAAGAAATGGCCTGTGTGAATGTTTACTATGCTATATCTCAGGGCCTGTGTTGGTTGTTCAACATATGCTATCTCATTTGGTTCTCTTCAGATGAGGAACTTGGAGCTCAAAGAACAGTTTCCCAAAGATTGCATAGGAAAATGGATCCAATCTCAGACTTGCCTCTTTCCGAAGCTTATGTTCTTTTCATAGCACTGAACTGTTTTGAAGACAAACTTACAGGGTAAAAGTGAGAGGGTATGAATAAATATAAGCTTCAAGGTAATGGAGCTTCCTTCCTGGTAACAGAGCTTGAGATGAAACAGTAAACAAACAAACAAAAGTTTCAGAATGGCTGCAAGATGTATTCTTTCTTCATGACAAGCAATTGTTAAACCTGAATTTATTTCGTGCAGTGCAAAAGTATTATGTGTTAATAGAAAATTAGGAAAATATTTAAAATGTCACTAGTTATGCAGTCAGTGCTAGATACTCTTCGTGATCCAGTATATCAACTTCTCATCTCATTTTTTTCTTCAAATATGTATTATTCGTATATAGTTTTTATAAAATTAGAACTTTGCCTTTTATACTTCATGTAATCTGATATCTGAATTAATAATACATCACAGTCATATTTCATTTCTTTTCTCTTTGGACATATATTTTTAATGAATATAGACTGTTCATTGTAAAAGTTATCATAATTTACTAAGCTTCTATCCTCGAATGTTGAAATTATCTGGATTTTTGTTATAAACATTGTCTGATTTTTCATGCAAATCATTTTGTTTTTCTCTGAATTTTCCTTAAGAAAAAAATTCTCGAACACAAATTTCAGCTTGGCTTTTTTTCTTATGATAGAGAAAAACTTTTCATCAAAATTTATATCTTAGGCCTCCTAGGTAAAATTACAGACCATTCAGGTCAGACTCTGCAGGGGATAAACCAGAATCCTAACTGAATTGTGACTCAGTCATTGACCAGAGGCAACTTCACTGTTCCTTTAGGAAGCTAATGAGAGAGCAACGTGGTTGAAGAGAAGAGGAGGAGTACCTAAGAGACTTGGAGAAGATAACTAAAAACACAGGTAACTGGAAGAAGGGGAGGGACATAAACCCTGATGCAAAAAACCAATTTGAAAGAGGAGACTTGTAGATCAAACAAAACATACATATAGGAGTTTAAGAGAGACAGAGCAACAGAGTGGTTCAATCGGACTGCCTGTGGGGCATCGGCCTGCACCCAGCATGGAAACAGCCATTTTGAGAAATTCTCAAATAGCTGATGGGATCCAAGCAGTGAGGGAGACTCAGGCTGCACAGGATAGACTTCGGGAATACACACACCTAGCCTCATTATCCCCTTTCCAAAATAGAGGACGTGCAGCATGGCAGCATTTTCCGCTAGCACACCCCAGGGGTGAGTGACCAGGGAGCTGCTCCCTCCCCTCTCCTGCCCATTCATTCTCAGACTCTAAATAGATAAACCAGCAACTGCTGCTGGTGTTGGGAGTCTTCAGTATTGGACCTCAAACACACCTGAGTCTCCACTGGGAGCTGCAGTTTCCCCTAAGCACATTGGGACATTCATCTGACACACAGAGCTAACACTGGTCTGGTTTAAGTCCATATTCTGCACCCTGGGCTCATCTGAGCCTAGACCAAGCTCTCACTGCCCTGCTCCAATCTTAGACCCACTAGAGTCTCTGTCTGACATGTAACATCAGTGCCTGAAAAATGCAGGTTTCACAGGAGTCTTCCAAGCACCTTGGGCACAGCAGAGACAACATCCTGCATTCAGCCAGAGCCCCAGACATGGCCAGTCCTCTGCCTGGTTAAGCAGCAAGGGTTAATGGCTACCTATTCCACCCAGACCTCTGGACACCCATGAAGCACCACCCAGTGCTCTGGCCCCTCACTGGGCTTGGAGAAATCTGCTCATGTTAGTCCTGGGCAGATTTATATCTCCTCTGTGCATCCACAGGACTGAGAGTCAGCTCTGACAGCCCACAAGAGCTGTCACATATCAACAGCCCATCCCACAGAGACTGGAAAATACATTGGGCAGCCAACATGAATCACCAACTAGAAAGAATCCACAACAGGATCCTCAGAGGCAAGGTTCTCCACACCTTCCCTGCTCGAGTTATCCAGCTTGAACAGTTACCATGAAATGGTGACGGCAGAGAGAGCCCCCTTGACTTCCAAATAGACTCACGAACTATAAAGTGGGCAGAGAGGAATGTGACTTGTAGGATTAGAGACTACTGGCCCAGGAAGGAAACACTCCTCTGGAAATATGTAGGAACTCCCCACTTGACTTTTTTTTCTTCTCCTTTATTGGT